TGGGGGAGATGCTGGAGGTTATTGTATATAAATCTCTGTCAGTAAATAATTATTTGTGCATAGGACATAAAGGAAGGGAAGAAACAAACCAGGCAGAGGAAGGGAAGGTTTTCAGACTTGGTAATAGAAAGGGCAGAGCCACTGAGAGAGGAGAGTGCTTTGAAGAAGGCCAGCAATGCTGGAGCAAAGTAGAGCAAAGTGGATGACGTCAGTGAAGTGCAAGGGGTGGCTGTGGTAGGGAAAAAGATGGGATGTATATTTTTTTCTATGGCCTTAATGGCCATAGAAGGCTATTGGCCTGAATGAGGTGGGAAGGCAAGATGTCTTAGCGGAGGGTGATATACCTTGGCCTATTTTTCTTTTCTTTCCTTTTTTTTTCTTGCTTTTCCTTTAAAAAAGTTTTTTTTTTTTTTAAATGTGTATGTGTCAGTCCTGAGGCTTGAACACCAGGCTTGTATGCTATCCCTGAGCATTTTTTTCCCCTCAAGGCTAGTGCTTTACCACTTGAGTTAAAGGTGCACTTCTAGCTTTTTGGTAATCATTTGGAGATAAGGGTCCCCCGGACTTTCTTGCCCGGCTTTGAACCGAGATCCTCACATCTCAGCCTCCTGCATAGTTAAGATTATAGGTGTGACCTGACTTTTGGCCTATGTTTTAAAAGTACCATGTCAGCAACTGGCTTGAGCCTGTATCTGAAGGAAAGGGAAGCGTGATTTCTAAAAAAATGGATTGTTATGGCTGTGTTATATAAAAGACAAAAAATACGGGCAACAAGATCTTGTGTGGATGAAAGAAGCTGATATTTTGCTGCTATAAGAAGAAATATAGTGGGCTGGGAAGGTGGCTCAGTGGTTAAAGCTCTTGCCTTGCATGCTCGAGGCCCTGGGTTCGATTCCTCAGCACCACATAAGCAAAAAGAAAAAAGCAGGAAGTGGCGCTGTGGCTCAAGTGGTAGAGCACTAGCCTTGAGCTGAAGGGCTTAGGGACAGTGCTCAAGCCCAGAGTTCAGGCCCCATGACCGGACCCCCCCCCAAAAAAAAAGAAGAAATATAGTAAGAATGTATTGGTGGATGGGCACAAATTAGCTGGGACATATCAAGTTTGAGATACTAGTTGCATATACTAATGAAGATGCTAATAAGAAATTGGACATTGGAACTGTAACCTCCCTGTACAATTCTTTTTTATTAGACATAAAAATCTGGCAGGAAGGAGATTGGGCTACAGGTAAAAAATTAGGTTTATCCTCTCATAGATGGTTTTTAAAGCCCCAAGCCTGGAAGAGGTCACTTAGACAGGGATGCCCAGTACTGGGATACTTAGGGAGCTTAGCAAGGAACTGAGGAGTGGTGAGGGAGGTGGAAGAACCCAAGGAAGTTTCAGAGCTGAGGAAATATTTCAAGAAGTAGTAATTAGTTGTGCTAAGACAATGGGTAAGTCAGACTACAGGTAAAGATTTGACCATTGCACTGGGATAGCCAGGACATCGCTTAGGTTCTTAGCAAGAGCTACCATGCATGGTAGAGATCAAAGGACCAAGGAGAGAAATTCAGATATTTGAATATATGCAACTCCTCATGGGGAATCTTCTATGAAGGGGAGCAGAGAAGGTTGTAGTTAGAAGTGGGTAATGAGACCATGAGGGTATCTATAACACAGGAGACACTGCAGCATGAATGTCATGAACTCCTCCAATATGAGGAGACAGTGGTTTTTATAGGAGTGGTTGGGTGGATGTAACCTAGAACAAATGTTGAAAACCTTCCCCGGTCACTTATGGAACTAATGTAGTAATGGGCAATAAGTTTCACTGGATAAGTTTGGGAAATTTAGAAGCCAGGATATTTGCAGGAGCATCTCAGATCTGAAATCAATACAAGTTTAGAAATGTTGGTGTTGGAGGAAACACTGAGCCCAGCACTAAATACTTGAGCAATGAGCAGGGATGACTGAGGGTAATGCAAGGGTGGCAAGAGCTTTAGAAGCAGTGGGTGATAGGAGGAACAAGGAGAGACCATAGTCTAGAAGTAGACCAAACAGGTATCCTACTACTGTTAGTAACTCAGTATGCATATTTTGATAGAGATAACATAAAATAATATTTCATTACATGTATGGGAAGACATAGGCTTAGGGGGCTACCAAAGCATTTCTGATTACTTGGAACAAATATAGAAAGTAGTTTTTGAAGAGTTATTGTACATATGTAGATAAAAGCGACTTGAAATTAACTAAAAAGTATCAGGTTGGAAAGCATGCCATGAAGATACACAAATATAACTAAGTTAGCAATTTTTTGACAATTTAGAATACTTGAAAAACTAAGGTTTTTTTAAAAATGAAAACAGTTGTAGGTATGGCAAAACCATAATTTTCCCTTTTTATATTGTAACTTGGTGTCTTTCTACACTTATGTTAATATTGTAAGTATGACAGCTAAAACACACAAAATACTTTGACAACATCCAGTTTTAAACTTCACCCAGGCTGTCATCTTATTATCTGCAACCACCTATCATTTAAAGGTCTGATTGAGGGTCATGTCTGAGGTTTCTTAAACCATGATTCAAATGACTAATCCTTAAAACTTATCCCAGGGGAAGAGGTAAAGACAGGAACAGAACCTATACAAATAAATGATCCATTGCCAGAAATGAAAACTGACCTCTCCACCAGTATTTGATTGGTTTCATTAGTACAATGCAACTTGGTGTTGATTAAAATAAGCCATCAAAACTAAATTGTCTCATGCAAGGAGTGAATTAGGTTGAAGAGAACTACACAAAGCCAAAAATCTGGAAAATTTGTCTTTAATTGTATTTTCTGGCTTTTATCTAAATGTTTGGCATCATAGACATGAGTCCAAAACTTTGACCTGGGCTTAAAAAGAGTTCAAACAGTATCCTGGAATTTTTGTTGAAAAATACTTGCAAGGAGAGAATTTTATTTTGTTGAATTTTGATCCTTCATGAATTAATATGTGTAGAAGAATAAAGATTAAAGCACAAGGTTATTATCTTGTACTGTTTCATGCTATGCAAATTGTTGAATATTGTAGTTGTCTATGGAAAAATTCCCAGGACAGTGATACAACATGGAAAATATTTGGCAGAAATGTGTAAGCTATCAATTTTGAACCTGCAAATTCTCAAGTGTGTTTGTTCTTTGGTGGGGCTCCTGAAAAAGAGATCAGTTCCTATGAAACCCAATGAAATGACAGCCGTTTTTGGAGTTGCTGATACTGCTATACTAACCAAGTCCATATACACTGGCACTTATGAAATGTATTGGCAGGCAGAGTAAACTGAATTTATAGACTTTCCTTTTTGGAGTTTATATTGTAATTAGTTTATCTTAGTGGGGTTAGTTTTTGGCTAATTGCTTCTTTTGTAGGTTTTATTTGATTTATTTAGATTTAAATTTTTGAGGAATGAATTGAAAGTTATCTAATAGTTTACAGAAACTATTGAGATACTCAGAATATGGCACCTGAGGGGATTTTGAGATACAGGGAACACGGCAGGGTGGTTCAGAATCATCATCAGCATGTTGTGCATTTTCTCATGTTTTCTTGCAGCTAGTTGGGATTAATGTTTGACTAATGACTGTCTTTTTTCTTAAAAATTACATAGCACTCTTACATTTTAAAGCAATCAGCACAAATGCAAGTGATGCCTCTTCAAGCAGACTTTCAAAGACAGCACACGCCACTAACACAAAGAGCTCTTCCACACTAGGAGATTCCAGGCACAGGAACTGGTACACAATAATAGTAGGAAAAACTGTTTTTTCTTTTTACTATGGAATGTGAGGTCAGCCTTTTCTTGTCTGCTAGAGGACAAACCCAAAATGACTCTAGCCTGAATATCACACCTTTTTCTAATCTGCATAGGAGGAACTGAGACACAATTACCAATGAGTCACAAGAGCAGACAGAAAACTGTTAGTAGGTTGTGACATCCAGAAATTAAGATGTTTTTAAATACATGTACTTGATGCAGTGTAAAGAGTGCATCTTACAACACAAAGCAGTGTCAAAGTGTTAGAAAAATGGAGCCCCTGTCAATCTATTGTCAGTCTACCCTTGTGAGATTTTACCCATACCTTAATCTACTTGGTTGAAAAAAAAAAGAGTTCTAGGTCTTCTTAAGCATTACTTAAAAGTTTTTAAGAAAAATAATGAGACCTAGCTAAACAGGGCCATCAGATTTTAAATGGAACTCAGTGTGACTTGTCTTCATTTATGTTGTATGTATTGACAATGATCTAAATGGAAATGATATGAGAAGGTTCATTATTAAAGAGCTGTATAGTTCAGCTATGTCTCCCACACACAGGATGCAGGTATCCAAGCTACAATATCCTGTCCTTACCAGCAGTGAGGTTCATATGCCAGACCCTGAACCAAAATTATGGTGTGAGCAGACACAGTGGGCTTGTAGACGATTATCCAGTTTTTGAAGCAAGGACTAAGAGATGTAGCAAAACTTAAAGCTTTCTTTGAAAGGAAATAAAAAGAGACTATGCCTCTAGGAATATCAAAATGAAAGACATTTTTGTGATGATGCTTTAAGAGAGGTGAAGTGTATCCCCCTCCATAAAAAGAATTAGAATCAAACTAAAAAATTAGGAATGGTATGAATGAACTATAAGGACAAGAATCTCATATATTCTACCTGGTCTTGGCTTACTGTGTCAGGGCCGAATCCTGTCGTGATAGAAGATGACCTAGTTTTTGTTTTTGTTTTTATTTTTGTTTTTGTTGGTGGTGCTGTGGCGCTTGAGCTCAGGGACTGGGCACTGTCCCTCAGCTCTTTTACTCAAGGCTAGCACTCTATCACTTTGAGCCACAGATCTACTTCCAGTTTTGAGTGGTTAATTGGAGAAAAAGAGTCTCACAGGGACTTTTCTGCTTGGGCTGGCTTTGAATTGGGATCCTCAGATCTCAGCCTCTTAAGTAGCTAGGATTACAGGCATGAGTCACTAGTGCCTAGCTGGAATGTCTATTTTTGAAGGAAAAAACTTCAAAGAATTCTACAAGTAGGTATTAAGGAGCACATATTTGTGGAGGCCCTTTTAAATTTGAGTTGGCCTTATATTCATTGTAGAATGTTTGTACAAAAATATAAAAGGCATGACTTGATGTTTAACATCTGTGTTTTATTTTTGTTGGCACCAGAAAAGCTCATGTTCTATGTTATGTCACTGTACATACTGTAAACAAGACTGCATTATAGTTTTTCTTATGATCTTTTTGTTTCAGTGAATCTAGGTTTTAAAAAATACATTCACAAACTACCTTATGTTTAAACACAATGAATCCCTTTTATTTCTTAACTGTACCCAAAAATCCCACAATAAAAAAATCATTTAAAGCTGTGTGTTTCAAACTTATCACTTAGAAATAAAAAGAACAACAACAATATGAAACATAAAAACAAAGATCAGTTTGCAACATAATTTCAAGAAGCTTCTGATTTAAAATACCACAGCAGCAATATAAAGAGCTGGTGGCAATCACATTTGGAGACAAGACCCAAATAATATATTTTGTCCGTGTTGGCATTCAATTACAGTAGTTGCTAGATTCAATCCAAAGTTTTATTGTTGAATTTGTTGCATGAAAATTGTAGAGATAGCATTGTTCAGCAGCATCACCACAGCAGTAAAAATGAGAACGGGAGGATTTCATTACTTTTGAGAGCTAAAGGGAATGTGATGGGGACATCTTGGTGTCACCTTAAGAAAATTCTGTTTCATTCCTGGGTGTTACCTGCTTAAAATGAATGCAAATGACAACCACCTTTTGGGAAGGGAGGACATAATCATTTAGTCCAGAACCTAGAATATCCCTCTTCCCTCCCCTCTTGCCCAAACTACCAGATTGAAATGGCCCCATTTTTTCCTAATGTAGGCTTCGTTCTCATTAATAGTATATCAGCTGCTCATGTATTTAGACAAAATCCACAGGATCATAGGCTTTATTTATTTTTAAAAATTCATTTACAATATTTGCTTTCTCCCAAAACAAGCATATTGGTTTCTGTCCTTGGATTTTTTCCCCTCATTTTTTTTAAAGAACAATTTAGTCAACTACTGTTTTGTTTTTTTAAATATTAAATACACCTGAGATTGCCAGTTGAGCTCTCTATATGTCTCCTGGAGATAACACTGCTGTGATGAACAGTGAACAAAAACAAACAAAACGAGGTAGGTTAAAACAGGAAGCGTAACACAGATATTGTTTTGCAACACCTTGATACCACAGGCGGCCATGCTTGTAGCTTTGGAAAAAAATCCCAGACAGTCACGTAAAAGTTCAAATCATTCGAATAAGAGTTTATAAAGACACAAGTCAACCTGAACTAAATACATACTTATCTTTGCATGGATGTTGTTTACTGTATGTTGGGAAATTTGAAGGAAGGTAAAGTGATTAGGGTCTCAGAATTTTGGCCAAAGCCTTGCTTTCAAGTTCTCTAAAATCTGAGCCAATGATGCCACTGTGTCTCAGGCAGGCTTAGTACTGTAGCTTCTTCTCTTGCCCAACCAGGGAGAGCATGGGCAGCTTTCTTTAGTAATTCTTTGCGGTCACAGTTTTCATCTTGAGAAAGTGGCACCCTCAGGAGAGAGCTGGGAATGTCCAGAGCCTGGATGTCATGCATTCCCCAGTTCCCAGAAAGAACTCATCAATCTCAGTTCTAGCTAAGCTCAAATCAAGTGACCTCTTAACTGGGAGGCTTTGTGCATTTTAAAAAAAGGAGGTGTGTGTATTTACATAGATGTCTAAGCTTGTTTCCCAGAAGCTCTTTCTGTCTGGCCTGATCTGTCTTTCCCATCTGCTGCCCTGATCTGTTGCATAATGGCTGAGGGAATTTGCATCACAGCATCCTCAATCTCTAGGCCCACTCCACTCGCTGGGTTTTTATCCCACTCAGCACTTCATTCTATAAAGACCATAGGAAAATATGGCCAGTTGTACTCACAAAGCAGTAGTTGATTTTATTAGACTAAGGCTAGTAGTTTAGCCATTTAAAATCTATTTCCCAAAAGAGGGGAAAACTAGTATTTTTCTTCTCTTAAAAATTCATTAGCCAGTTGCTATCAAAAAGCAACCTGGGGTTGGTGAAGGCAAAAGAGTTCTTAAATCACCCCACTAATGTTGTTATGGCCTTCATTGTAAGGAGATTAGGTACATTTATTGTGCTGTCTCTCACCATCAGAAATTAGAAATTTTACAACATACCATATACTTAAAACTAGCAGGCAGACAGAATTAAAGACAGACTCATTTTCTCAGTATGCGTTCTCTCCCCATTCTTACAAAGTTAGGGGGTAAAGGAAAAAAGGTCAAAACAAAACTCAAAAGCCACCATAACACAGCTTAATCATAAGAGCACACAATATTTGTTTCTATCCCTAACTTTGAAGGGCACATGGTCCATCTCTGTCCACAGACAACGCAGCATCCTTGGGGATCTCCCAGACATTCCTGCCAACTTTTTCTCTCCTTCTCAACCAGGCTGCAACACTGAAAGATGGACTGCATTGGGAAGGGTGGAGGGACAGGAAAAGGGAAAGCAGTATGTTCAACCAAGCCTTCTGATTCTGCCTCTAGACTGGCATAAGTCCACATGAGTTATGTTCTTTTACATTAGAAATAACGCCATGAAGATAAGTGCCAAGTGCTCTTCTGTTACCAGTTCATCATGGAATTTCTGTTGAGGGTCATGAAAAACACTTGGCTACTTCCTCCAGATCGCACGGATGCAAAAAATACCTGTTTGAAATTAAAAACAAGTTAGTTCAACTGAATGGTTTTTTTCCCCTCTTTTTCCAACTGTCCATCCACTTCCTTTCATATGTTCTATCCTTGACATGTGTCAGCTCTTAAGACTCAATGGCCAGTGGTTATATAATGACTCAAGAGTGCATCTTATATAAACAGTCCTGTTTTATTGATATCACTATTATCAGTATTATTGCAGTACTGGCCTCCAAGGACTCTTCAGTTGCTTTATCATGACTTGAAACATCTTTTTGAAGGTTCACATTTGAAGAGGGAATTTTGTGCTAGGATAATGTGGCCTGGGCCACTGATGATTTCTACAAAGGCACAAAGACACCCTTTCTTTCCCTTATAAGTAACAAAAAGGGAGACTTCAGGATGGAAGAGAATCTTCCCAAGTTTTCAAAGTTACAGGCAAATTTCATGCCTACTGGCCACTGTACAACTTGTTTTAAATTTTCAGGATTTAAAATGTGGTCAGACAGGTTAAGATGTTGAATGCCTATTCAGTGTGCCATTTCAGGAGTTAATAATTTCTCTGCAGATGCTGGCACACCCCAGGTCAAATGAGATAATGGTATTAATAAGCAGAACCATAATCTAGGGGGTCTGAATCTGCTCAATCATTCTATCAAATGATTGGGAGAAGTAAGCAAAATTTGGGGGTACTGATTGCTTGAGCTGAATGTCAGTGAACCACTGCCCCAGGAAAAATAATATTTTGGGCTGTGGCATAGCCCTTCAGTCAGCTAACACCTAACTTTGATCCAAGGCATTTGCTTTTGTCACTAGTATAAAGTCTCTGCTAATTCATTTCCACGGCTCTTTTGGGAGAATGTTCTCTCCCAAAAACTTCGTAAGAAGCCTGTGGAAATTTTTGTCATCAGCTAATGCTACATATGAAGGTAGAGCTACTCTTAGGGTCAGTGAATCAAAATACAGGACAGAGAGGGCCTGTATAAAACCACAATGAAAGAAAGCAATGCTGTTCTTTCTAGTTTGGGGATCTTGGGCTCTAAATCTCAGGTCCTTGGTACTGGCCTGGTCCTAGCCTTCTCCGAGGGTATGGGTCTGATTTGGAATAGGACTGATAGGGTAAATCATCAACGAACCAGAGTGTGGGGTGTCCATGCCCAAATCACTCCTTGTTGTATGATTCCCCAGAAACTGGGTAAATGGTGGAGTCTTACTAGTTAGATCTGTTTTCAGACATGATTTATTAAGTCCCTGGTTCCATCCTTGCCATGCACAGCTGTTGTCCATCTAGACCACATGGGTCAGAGTATTTGGCCAGTCAAATAGTCCAGACCTGTACTACCAGGACTGGACAAAGACCAGCCTGGTCTCAGGGGAATCAGAGCAAGTCAGGATTTAACTATGGGTATTTCTGGCTGTTGCTTTGGGTTCAGTGCTGTTGCGTTAGGTGTAGCTACAAAGGATGGATTCACGAGTACATTATAGCCTGACTTCTAAAAACTCTAGGTTACTCTAGATGAAGGACATTGCTTCAGGATTCCCCTCTGAGGTGATCAGTCATGCCAGATGGACACAGCACTTTCACTGGAAAACAATCCCCCTTTGACGTTTTGGAAGCAACATGGCTGGAATGACACAGGACATGGCACTAGTTGAGTTTGTGAGTGTGGATTTTTTTTTTTAAGTAATAAGTGACACTTTAAAAGTCAATATTTCTTTCTGCATGTCAGATTTTTTAATTAATTAGATCCAGATAGAAACTTTATGAAAAGCCTAAAAATGGAAGTGTAAAGGTGACCCACTATGAGATGATTAATGATGGGCCAACTGTGCTAAGTGCCTAGGCGAATTTGGGGTAACTGCTGCGTTACTACAAGGCCTACTGGCCACAAAAGTTTACAAGATATTTCTAGATGTTTTATGTTCATTTTGATATGATACTTTTGAGTGTTCATGTGAACCAAACCAAATAATGCCATTTTAAGATAATATTGACTGTTTAACACAGAGGTGATTTAAATCAGTATAAAGGAAAATGAAGGTTTCACAGGTACCTGGTGGTCTCTTAAAATGCAAACACTAATGCAAATGTTGAAACGGATTTACCTTATCATTTCTTTCACATAGAAACTTTAACCTTTGAGCTCGCTTATGCATAAATACTCCATCCAAATGTCCTGTTTCCACTGACCGGATCTCAATAGCTTTCTCGCCCCAGCCCATTATCTGATTGGAATGAATGTAGGCTGTCAAAAGGAATTTCCAAAACTGCATTAAAAACATTAGATAGGCAATAACTCACAGCATCTGTTCACATCTTAACCACAAAAATGACAAATGATTTGAGATAAACAGACAAAGCAAGTCTTACAAGTGTTATTCACAGATTTTTTTTTTTTTTTGGTGTGGAATCAAATGGTTGTTTCACATTTCTTGACTTTTGTTTCATTTGGGGGGTGTAACTGTTGAAGGAGATAAGGAATGGTTAACCTACCCACAGACGTGGGCATTTCTCCCCATTGGAGCACCACATCCTTTGTTATCCGGCCATAGGTGTTCACATATACCCCCTCATCCTCATAGCAAACAAGCATTTCCATTCCATCTGTTTTAGGCAAGATGACAATAGCATGAGGAGTGATATTGCCCTGAATCTAGAAGACAAAGAAAGGCAAAGCATTATTGTTTTTTTAAATAAGACAACCCTTTGACTTTTAGCTCTAAGAGGTGAAAAAAAGTATTTCCCCCATTTTCACTCTAGAGATAGAAATTTTCTTTGTTAAACATAATCAGCTACTGATCTGTGCAATGTTCTGATAAACGGAAGTTGCTAGATCAAGAATCCAATTAATTGGTCCAACTAACGGTGACCTGTATCCATGGAGCACCTAGCCTGTACCGATCACTGGATCAATTATATTTATGTATGTGATTTCTAGTTCTCACAACAGTGCTACTGTTATCTTGTGTACACATGAGAAAACTACATCTCAAGAGTGTTCTGTAACTTGCCCAGAGCTGTGCTGGTATTTGCTGGTAGAATTAGGAGTTGAATGCATGTTTTCCAGACATTGAAATGTATTTGTTTTCCACCAGAACAAGTAAACATGAGGAGAATTCAAGTCTTCTATCAGACTATGAGTATATAATCCAGATTACTTATCTGGGTGCCTGATTGCCAGAATAATCCAAATGAATAGTTTGTTTAGAAAAAAAAGTTACATGATCTCATATTGAAAAAAAATACTACTACTAAACTATGTATAGATTGAGAGAGAGAGGTGGTCTACTGTGGCCCCCAGGTTCTCAGGTCCCTGTGCACAGGAGTGTGGGATGGAGATGGTTTCAAGAATGCATCAGCTGTGACCACACTACTTCCAAACAGGCAAACGACTGTATTGCAGTGATGAGTGATAATTGTACATGTGCATGTCTGTATATAAAGTACTAAAACAACTTTTACAAAGGATTGTACTTTAAATTCTTCAAGCTCTTATCTGAACACAGGTGGCTCACAACTGTAATCCTAGCTACTCAATAGGCTAAAATATCTCCAATAAATTTGTCTCCAATAAATTACCAAAAAAGCCAGAAGTGGAGCTGTGGCTTAAGTGGTAGAACACTAGTTTTGAGCAAAGGAAGCTCAGGGACAGTGCCCAGGCCCTGAGTTCAAGCCGCAGGACCACCACACACTCACAAAATGTCTTCAAGTTCTCAAAATAGCAGTCAACAATGGGCTAAGTCTTAGATTTCCCTGGCAGTTTCTACTGTATGTTAGCCTTGTGATTATGTGCTACATGATATAATGTTAACATTGCATTAGTTCTAATAAGAGGATTAATAAGCATTTCCCTAGTTATACTTTAAGGAATGTATAGTAATTTGAATACTATATTAATAAAAAGAACTACAATTTGTAAGGCCCTGTGCTAGATATGTTTGATCGATATCCTATAGGATAGGTCTTTTTTTTTTTGGGTCCGGTCATGGGGCCTGAACTCTGGGCCTGGGCACTGTCCCTCAGCTCTTCAGCTCAAAGCTAGCGCTCTACCACTTGAGCCACAGCGCCACTTCCGGCTTTTTTCTTTTTGCTTATGTGGTGCTAAGGAATCGAACCCAGGGCCTTGAGCATGCAAAGTAAGTGCTCTACCACTGAGCCACCTTCCCAGCCCTAGGATAGGTCTTTTTATTCCCATTTTACAGATGTGAAAGTTGAAGTCTTTCATTGTTTGTGAAGCTCATGCATGGTAGAAACACTGAGCTCCAGTGTATCTAACTCTACTATAGCACACTGCCTTCCGAATGGTAAGACAAATTAAAACTAGTAGATAAGACATTTTTTGAAAAAATTAGAACTTGACTATTGATGGACATTCTCCTCCCACATATAATGAGCCAATGTCTCTTTAAAAACAAATCCCTGAAAATTGAAACTCATAGATTATACAAATGTATACCCTTAAAGGAAACAATTTTATGTATTTTAATGTCTAAAGTCCAGAGACAATAGAGTAATCATCTAATAATTTCTATTATTTCCACTCTATTCCAGTTTTAGGAAGTAAAAAAAATTAGTAATAAAAATTAGCTAGCTTTACATGTGTTACTTACTAAAAACATTTTTTTTTTTTGAGTCCGGTCATGGGGCCTGAACTCTGGGCCTGGGCGCTGTCCCTCAGCTCTTCAGCTCAAGTGGTAGAGCACTAGTGCTCTACCACTTGAGCCATAGCACCACTTCTGGCTTTTTTCTTTTTGCTTATGTGGTGCTGAGGAATCGAACCCTGAGGCAGGCATGCAAGGCAAGTGCTCTACCACTAAGCCACCTTCCCAGCCCCTTATTAAAAACATTTTATCTGTTACTGATAAGTAAGTTTATATAACTTCTACTGAATACATATAAAACCAAATCCTTTTTCCACAAAGGCCAGTAGACAGAGAACCCTGGCTCTGGATACTTACGTGAGATGGTATATAGATATCATAGGAGTTTCCCGAATCAACATCAATTACATGGAAACCAGTGTGTGAGCCAAAAATAACCTTTAATCTTTGACCTTCTTCTACAGTGAGATCAACTAGCAGAGGCTTGTGTTGGAGATCTGCAAAAGACTTTAAAAGTTCCCCCATTAGTATCTACATCATTCAAAGAGGTTATCTTAATGATTTCCTTTAGCCACTGTCTAGGGAATATTCACTTCACTTTCCTTCAGTTGAAAAGCTGTTGAAAAGCTAGAAGATATCTCTTCTACTTAAGTTTGACTCCCATCCTGGACTTTGATTCATTTCTGTTTCTTTTTCTACCTCCTGTCCTCCAGGACATAGAATATAGCTGTCAATTTAAATAGTGCCAATTGTATATTAAAAACCTGGTACCTGTGGGTACTGCTGTTCTTTCCTGTTTATTTTTGGCCTTTGTCCTCCAGAGAAGATCCAGTTACTCTTTTTCCCCTCTGGCCCCTGTAGCAATCAGGCCTATCTATGCTTTCTACTTTTCAGAAAAGCCTGGGCTAGGTAACGAGGGCCTGCTAGCTGCTAAACCTGTTCAGAATTAGTGGGAATGCTTTGGTTAGTTTTCTTTCTATGATTGAGTGGGTGTCAGAGTAGTACTTTAATAACTTTAAATTTGGGTGTTAAGAGTAGGTGAAGATGAAACACAAGACTCATGCTTTGTATTGCCTACTGGAGTTTAACTAGAAAAGAGGAAATGAGAGCTCTAGCAAGTTAATCAAGATTCTGTATACTTGGACCCAAGGCCCACCCATGCACGAGCTAGCTATGAAGTGTTCCTCTGTTGCAGTTAAAAAATTATATTTTTATTATATTTAATTATACAAAAGAGTACCATTCAACAAATCAGTTTATAAGTACAATGTTGCTCTTTTGTACATTTTTAATTATATTTTTAAGTAGTTGTACAAAGAAGTTCCCTTTCTACAAAACAGTATATGAGTACAAGCTGTCTGACAACATTGTCACCCATTGCTCCTAACCCATCCCTCTCTCACTTTTTTAAAAAAATTGAGATTAGGTGATTATATAAATTTCACATATTTCACAGTACTGTGGAATAGTGACACTTAGTTAAAGTCACAAACACATTTTAACCTTCACAAGGCAAATTGTCATTATCGTGGTCCATAAAGTTTGTGAATTCTATGAGCTTTGACAATATGTTATTTCTTCTACATCAGGTGAAGTTTATATTTCTTTTCTTTTGTTTAGTGTAGGCCTGTCCTTCTTTCCCTCTCATTTCTCCCTTCCCATCACCTCTGTTGCATTTTACTATGACTTAATCATCTGGCACCTTTCTGGGTCCTGAAACCTAGAGGAAGATTTGAGACAGGCCTCCTATCATCTGTTTATGTTCATCTGTGTTAATATCATTCTCACATCACAGGAAGTATGCACCTTATGTCCTATCCCTGCTAGATTTAGGCCTTTGTTCTTCCCTCTTTCCAGGCTGGGTCTGGTGTGCAGAACTGAGTATTTTGTACTTTCTCATTTGCCTTGTTGAACACTGACAGAAATGACTTAACAATCAAAATGGGAATGGGATTTTGGTTGAAAAGCTTTTTTGGAGAGATTTGTGCAGATCAGCAGTACATATTAGCTTTTAGGAGTCGTTTCCTAGCGGTTTTGAACCTTAATGCATTGCAACAATTTCATTCCATGAAAGTGGAATATGGATGGTAGTGTTTTTCCATTGTTGAATTTATCTTCCAGAATACATCACAGGTGGACTACCTGCACCAACGAAATAAGATAGAAATGGGGACATTCAGAGCCACAAAAGGGCTGACAGTGTTCCCAGGGAAGGTTTTGTGACAGGAGAAAAGAGAGGAAGGGAGGCAATAATCAGGAAGATGAGAAAAACTCTGTGTATGGGGGGATGTGGGGGGTGTGTGCGGGGGGGGAGGGAGAGGAGGAGGGAAGGAGAGGAGAGATTCACACTGGATATGGCTAGACTATGTGGTGCCAAACCAATCAGGTGCTTGAAAGTACTAGTCCTGGAATTTGGGGGCAGCTTTTTATGAATTGGGGTCAGTAGTAGCATGTCCATAACTCATTCTTGTGGAGTGACCAATCCAGCTATGATAAATATAAGGTAAAAAAATACCAAGAAAGTAATTTCTATAAGAGACTACGTTAAGTATCCAGTTCAGAGACACTGATAAAGGGAATCTGTGAACATCAACTGAGATTAGAAGGTTTGTGTTGGTACTGGGGTTGAACTCAGGGGCTTGCACACTTGCTTTGCTTTTTTGCTCAAGGCTGGCACTCTACCACTTGAGCCACAACTCCACTGATAAGAAGTGATGCCAACAGTCTACTTTTGTTAGACAAAACACCAGGCAGTACTCAAGAAGCCCTGTTTAATAATGATGATATATCAATATTGTGTAATTGGTAATGATTCCATAAAAAATGCCTCTTGAAGTCAGTCATTATTAGACCTCAAATGGAGGTCAAATACAAGTTTTAATTTGACAAATTATATGACATTTTAAATATTTACTCTTCTAGTAAGTCCAAGAAACACTTTAAAAAGTCTAATGGAGGGCTGGGAAGGTGGCTCAGTGGTAGAGTGCTTGCCTTGCCTTGCATGCATGAGTACCTGGGTTAGATTCCTCAGCACAATATAAGCAGAAAAAGCTGGAAGTGGCGCTGTGGCTCAAGTGGTAGAGTGCTAGCCTTGAGTTAAAGAGCTGAGGGACAGCACCCAGACCCAGAGTTTAGGCTCCATGACCGACCGGCGTGCGTGCATGTACACGCGTGCGCGCGCACACACACACACACACACACACACAGTCTAATCAATATAATAAAATTGGAATTGGTCTATATGGAGCACAGACCATTGGTGAAACTGAAACTGAAAATCCAAGCACATGTCTGCTTACCTTAAATGCCATGAACTTGTGATATGGTTTAGGAGCCCAGGCATATATTTCCACAGCATTCTTTAAGGCAATCACCAAGAATTTGATCCTTTCGTATTTAACTATAACAAGAAAGTTAAGAATCAGAAAGTACATCAGTTTATTGAGTTATTTCTGTGTTCAGGAATGTCTGAGCCACAAGATGTAGTTACATATCCATATATCTCTATAGTAGAGGATGATGCTCATGATGCAGGATTGTCTCCACAGACAGATTTCGTTTTCTTTAATGTACTTGGTTAGCATGGTACTTGGGTCTTTAGCTTTATATTGAAGGCTTTTTTCTTCATCTCAAGATGTAACTACTTGTCATCTTTTCCAAACTTAGATATGAAAAATCACTATGATAGGAACCTGTACCTTTCCCTAATGTTGTTTATTTACATTACTCTGCCTGACTTTTATGTTTACTTGACTATAAGTAACTGAGAGCTAGTAGGCCAGGATGGTTGAAAAATTAGCAAAGGAAGAGGCAGAGTCACAAAGGATGCCATCTGCTTATTATTCATTTTTTTTTGTTGGTTCTGGGGCTTGAACCCTGGGCCTGAGTGCTGTCCATGAGCTCAAGGCTAGGGCCCTATCAACTTGAGCAACAGCATCACTTCTGGTTTTCTAGTGGCTAATTGGATATGAGTCTCTTGGACTTTCCTGCTTATGCTGGCAGATGATTCAGTATGACAATGGTTTTGAATGTATTTTTGCAAGAAATCTGGTTTGGGGAATATTATATATTTTATATATAAATATAACACATGAATATATGTTATATAAATATATAATATATTTAAATATATTTTATATATTTAATGCATTTTTAAAATGGTTATTATAAAGGTGATGTATAGAGGGATTACAGTTGCATAAATCAGATAAAGAGTACATTTCTTTTAGAACAATGTCACCCTTCCTTCCCTCTCTTCCAGTTTTTCCCTCCTGTTCCACCCACAAGTTGTATAGTTCATTTCAACATAGTATCATTGCTGCATTTGTTTACCCTTATCCCACCAGTTCTGTGCCCCTCCCTATTACTTTCCCAAAGACAGATGAACAAATGACAGAAAACAAAAACAGCAACAAAGAAAAAAGTCTGGTTTCCATTTCCTGTAGTTTATTCGATGAATATTTTATATGATCAGATGCACATATATGTATTATGCCTTTGAGTTTCTTCTTAATTGGTGTGTCTTATGTGTCTTGGTAACCATAAAGATCTATATTTATTGTGATGTCCTTGGGAGGTCACAACATTCTTTAAATGTCCTCTGGACCTTTCACTACTAAATGTAGACTCTAATTATTAGAAAATTTATAATCTACAATGGATACCTATGCTTGTCAATTACGTCATAATATTTGTATAACAGAAATATCCTATATTCTAAGGAAACTGGGTAGGGAAAGTAAAACCTAATATACTTAGATGACACCTTAGATATCTGGCTGTCTCCAGCCAGATAATTTTTTATCAAACAACTCTTTATGAACTATTCTCTGATCTCCTTATTTGAGACCAAGGAAAAGATCCACAGTTAAGGCGTAAAATACCATGAATATAAAAACTTAGGTAAGTGCATACAGCTAAGAGAAAAAAATACCCATTATCTTTCGGATACTTGGTCTGTAGTTGTTCTTTTGTGTGTGTATGTGTGTGTATCAATATCAACCTTATATCTACCTACCTATAGCTACATTATCTATGTATCTATATCGTATCTACCTCCTTAAATTTTTGTGCCTGTACTGGGGTTGAACTAAGGCACTATCCTTTACCTTTTTGGGCCACAGCTCCACTTATGGCTTTTTGTTGGTTAGTTGGAGGTAAGAGTTGCATGGACTTTCCTACCTGGCTGGCTTCAGACCATAAACCTCAGAGTAGCTAGGATTATCATGTATATTTTTGAAATGTCATAGCAACTTGAGAATAATACTAATGTGCTACAAGGAGACTTCAGTGTTGACTAGAATCTTACAAAAAAAAAAGCAAAATAGAGACTATGTATGATTCTTTGGATACCATGAGAAAAAATGTTTCTGAAAATTGATGTGGTCTCAATTTTCTGATAGATAATTATTAGTTATTGCTCTCTAGCTACATTTCAGTTTCCATCTTCTGGTTATAGATCAGTCTTGTAAAGGCAAGTAAAAAAGACAGCTGTCATTAGAAGAAGTCAGAAATATTAGAAAAACTACAGAAGTTTTGTGGGGGGACTTTTGTAGAATCATGTTTTTGAAAAACAACTTTCTAAACATAAATAATGTTCAGAAATTTTATTTCCCGAAATAAATTTTATTACTCTATAATCATATAATATTAATTTGTGTATAGGAAATTTGATTAATATATTTAGGTTAAAATATTCCAAATAAACAAGGTAAAGGAAGATCTTACAAGTTTTATCAGAGAAATTTTTAGAGGCACCTTTAAAATTGTTTCCATAATGCAGTTAAATTATATTTCTTTCCTATGAAAGCAAGACATATTGTCAAAGAAGCCATGATCTCCACATATGCATATGAATGACTTTTACCAGCTGTGAGTATGGTGGGTGTATGTTTAATGCTTTACCAAATTATCAGGTTGAAGGCAAGAAAAATTAGGATTCCAGGGTTTCTAGTTAGAGAGTTGTAGCTAATTTTGATTCCAAAAACACATAGTGAGGCAGAGATAATAACTTGTACATCACTGGTTTGATATGGAAGAACACTCTCCTTGTGCAGTCTGGTTTGTGAGCAATACTGTGTCCTTTGAACATCTCTTTTCTTTAACAAATGCTGTTTTATTTTTATCTATGTGTTGTCACTGTGCTTGGGTATTGGGTATGCTCAGCTGGAGGGTGGGGGCATGCCTGTAATCCTAGTTACTCAGGAGCCTGAAATCCAGAGGATCAAGGTTTGAAGCTAACCTAGGCAGAGAAGTCTATCTAAAAAATAACCAGCAAAAAGTTGGGCAAGAGGTGTGGCTTAAGTGCTGGAGCTCCAGCCAAGCAAGTAAGGTCTTGAGGTCCTAAGTTCAAACCTGTTACTGCTACCATTTTTTTCCCTCCAAAAGTTACTTTAAATGCTTATCAGTAAGCTTTTTCTGAAAATAATTCCCAAATGATGTGTTGTTATCCATTGACAGGGGGCAGCATATTCTTTCAGACACTTGAACCTTATCAATTGCCAAGCTAAGGTGGAAGGTCACTTGGAATAAACTTAGAAGGAAGGGATGTAGTGGGCTTTACCTGATCAAATGAAAAAGAAAAAATAGAATGAAGAGGCTGAGCCTCTGGCCTATTTGAGCTGGAGAATTAGGTCTTTTCTGGCTTTGACTCATCACTACTTCCTGGGTCTTCAGCCTTCTGACTTTTTCTGACTGATCCACGCCATCAGTTCTTCTGGTTCCCAGTCCTTTGGACTTGGACTAGCATTCTACCATTGACTCTACTAAGAGATGTGTCTGCTTTGCTGCCTGTATATCACACACACACACACACACACACACACACACACACACACACACACACACACACACACACACTGCGCCTGTCTGGCTTCCTGTTGCCTCCACTGGTTCAACTGGAATAGCGTTAGCTTTGAGCAAA